GGATACGGAAAAGGTAACATCTTACACTGAGAGTACAATTCATCTCCTTACTCCAGTTCTGCCCCGAACGATTCTTGGAGTCTGAGAAATTGGAGCAGAAGGTTATTCCTTTTGGTATTGGTAAGCGAGCTTGTCCCGGTGAATCACTCGCAAGAGCCGAAATCTACCTGGTAAACAATGACAGCTTAACAACGTGCTTACCAGTGCTTTTCAGTTGTTGGGCAATTTGCTTTCCAAGTACGATTTCCAAGCCGTTGGTAAAATCCCTCCTATGGTCGCATCTGACAGAAGTGGACTGTTCAATATCAACGATAACTTCTCATTGAAGTTCGTACCTTTGACAACTGGAAAGGAGTGAAGGCGTTGTATATTTCTCTGCAGTCTGTCGACACATGAATGTCTTTCTAATAAATTAATATCATATGACGACTATTCCTCATTTGCATAGTTGACACTTATTAAGCACGATAGAACATCTCTAAGGTAATAGCCAAAAGGCTTTCCCTTCCTAGATCATCAAACCCTTATAGTGAGCTTCTTCACTATGCTCATCAAAACTACTAAACTAAGACCGAACCCCCCAGGATAGAATTCAACTATCATAAACATCAGGACAGCGATAAAGAAATTGAAACCTAGTTTGCCCATAGTCTGATCTCGGAACCAAGGAGTAGTTTCATATGACTCAAGAAAAATACCAGATTGGGTTGCCAGAAGTAGATTTCAATACACACTCACTGTCGCTAGCTAGTTATTGTTCTCTCCAAACTCTGATCATCTGAAGGGAAGCCTGGAAGTAAAATGTATAGACAAGAGTGAAAAAATGGAAACCTACCCAGGCAAACCATCTTTGTGTATTTTTCTGGATTGACATCTCGTGCGCTCGAAACGGCTGGCAAGACCTGAAACGGCAATATACAATCTTTGATAATCTTGATGAGTCTCCTACCAAACTTCTTCTAATAAACTAGATCCTATTCTTTTCTCATTACCAGATGTGTGGGTGACGGAGAGAACGGTAACAAGTTCAAATCATTGGAAGAAAGCTCATATCAAACACATCACATACACAGGCACGATGGTGAGAAGGGTTATGGTGTTGGATGCTATTGGGGCTTATACATTGCCTTAGGATCATCGTTGTACCTATCAATGGATCGATTCAAGAAATAAATAGAACGAATAAAACAAAAATTAGCATAATCAAATAAATTTCAAAAACACTGAGGGTGTCGTGGAAAAGACATGATCAACTACAGTAACCAGATTGAGATCAAGTATTTCAATTATGATTAGAGCGCTACTTAAGGATTATCACTAGGTCAAACATACCTTAATTGGAAGATGCATCTTGGTCATGAGGGGAAATCGCGTTCATAGTTTTATAAGATACTTCGAGGATATATAAAAAAGTTTTTGCTCAATGAAGATTCTCCTGTATTCGGAGAAGCAGCAAGGCACGGATCACTCGTGCTGAGATTGATTGAAAGAGTAGGGAATTATGAAAGTTTTAATAGCCGAATAGAAATTCTCGTTGTTTCGTAAACAAATTCTTATCAACAAGATAACAGAGTCATTTTCATATTCCACTTCTGGGTTCATCGTTTGTTTATTTCTCTCTCTTTTCTCATTGTCTATGAATCCTTCTTAACCTATGCTAACTATATCATCCTCATAGTTCTCCTATATAACTCATTGTATATGCATTATGTATATTCTCTTCTTCAACCTACTTCTAATCAAATATCATTTCCAACTTTCAGTTTATCACTCCGATTTATTGATTGCTCGATATGCTTGTTCAATCGCCAA